TAAGGCAATATTGAAGCAATAAGCACAGTTTTCGTATATGCCGATAAGAGACTAACCAGTTGCATTTCTGACACATCAATGGGAAGATTCAAACAAATAATACTAAGTGAATTTATGAGAGATAATTGATGGAAGATGTATAAATTTAATATTTAATATGTAGTTTCCATATTTCACGAAGATATTCTGTACGTCTGCATTGAATAACAAATCGGTCTTCCCCTTTGGAGTATTCCTTCACTATAAGTAATCCAACCAACAGGAAGTTGAGATTAAACAAGATTTTATTATCAACTACTTTTAAACAGACAAGTTTATTTAAGTTCAATAATCCAATGGAATACACATTTTATGAATATGTATTTCAAACAAATATAAGAAGGAATTTTGAAGATGATGACGAATTCAAGGAAATTTTTAAGCATAATATCTAAATCAAAACTAAACACAGATATACGCTTTAAAGAGTATTATCATTAAAATAACGAAGAACTTTGATACAAACTTCATTGAATATATTATTTTTTCATTAGTTGAATTTGTTGTATCCCCTGGCGAATTATGAATCATAAATCTGATGTCCATTTATGGACAAATGTAATACGCCTATTCCTATTGGATAGTTGTTAAATGAGTAACCTAAATCTGATGTCTATTTATGGACAAATACAATATGCCCATTCCCTATTGGATAGTTGTTAAATAAGTGACCTAATCGTTTCCGTGTTCCTCTTATCATAACCTTTATTTTGACCTTGGAACTATTATTATTGATTACTTTCCCCCTAGCTACAGCCACATTGGCCAATTACTGTACAAATGTTATTTTTCTATTTTTTGGTATAATTGGGTCTGTTTGGTTAGTATATATAACCCAGTGTGCTTGTGAATAATGATTCATATTGCTGAGGCTGTTATTTGTGTTCTGGACTCAACTGGCTGGGCTAGGCAGTTAGGAAGGACCGAATAGCAATCAAGACTGCTCGTACGTATTTTCTGTATCATTGCACGTTTCATATACAATAACGAATTGTTATACGAGTCATAACAGAATTCATGAATCAATGTAACTTAGATTATCGTTGAAAACTTAAAAGAATTTGACGATGATTTCATTTTAGTACAAGACTCCTTAACTGTACACATCAACGATCTATCATGGGGTAATCGAATTTTAAACTTTCGATCATGTGAATGAATATTTAACTATTAGACCACTAAAAATATGACTAAAGTATCATTTGTACTTTTAAAAGTTATAAAATCAACTGATTAAAATCAAAAGAAATTAAAATGTTCAACAAATGATGATTTTAGATAACGATTTATTTGTTTAACAAGGGTCATGTTTATATCATAAATAATCTTATTTTGAATTACGTCATTTTCAATGCTTAGATGATTGGTGTATAACGTAATGAATGTTTCAGATTAAAGGACTGAATTCAAGTCTTAGTATAAACATGAATACTAGGATCAACATATCTCCAGCTGATGAGTCTCATATAGGACAGAATGTACAGTCTAATTTCTATTACTAACCGCAATCTATGTACTCTATAAATAATTTTGATAAAAATACCATACTCATCCAATTCATACAATATTGTAATGCCGCGATTCGTTAATCGTTTACTTCGATAACCGTTATAATTCTAATCTTAACGGTGCATAAAATCAGAAGACAAAGTATAGCAGCAACTACAGTTTATTGTCGAATAACTCAGGTCAGAAAGTTAGCAACACCTGAGCGAATAATAACGAACGAGTGAACAGGGGAATAAGCGAAGGAAGCGAACAAGGCGGAAATGACATGCATGGGAGATGGTTGGAAAGTGAACTAGAGAGCGAGGCGAAAGATGATGCGTATTGGAGATGGCTGGGAAGCCAACTCGATTTAAGCAAGCGTTAATCAACATTTATAGTCAGACAAAAATGTGTGACAGACATACGATGAATAAGATACGAAGTGTACACATATATGCTCATATAAAAGTATAGTCAAGGTTAATAAGCAAATGATTAACAAGATCAAAATATGACTCATGATAGGCGAATTGGCTTGGCCAGCAACTAGAATAAAGTATATGGGCTTAACATAAACACAGATACTACAATATACATTTATCTCAATAAAGACTACCCGAAAAATTCTATTCTGAGTGCTGACGATGGAACATTCCAAACATTGTTAATGATGAATATATATTATTGTTACTACATATTGATATTATGCTTCACTGATCATCCTTTACCAATATGAAATCACGAAGATACTTCATTGACCTAATGAACTAACTTATTTTTTCTTCATTAAAAAGTCTTTTTTTTTGTTAACACCAATCTTTCTTTTATCCATTGTTCAATATTTCAATATATAAGGTGATTTATCAGAAGGGGGTTTTGTGGAGATTTTAGTGATTTTGTATAGTTGAAATCCTGAGTCAATCTAAGCTGGATCACTATGAAAAACCTGGAAGAACTAGACGGCCGTTTCGTCCGATTTTGGGACTCCTCAGCAGTGCTTGCGCGAGAGACTAATAGGTCCAGGGTTTGAATCTCGCGAGGTGAGGTCGTGGATGTGCACTACCACTGAGCAGTCCAGCAATAGGACGAAACGGCCATCCAGTACTTCCAGGTTTTCCATGGTGGTCTAGCTTAATTGGACTCATGATTTTAACTATATAAAATATAAGGTGTTTGTTGATTTTTGTTTGACTGAAAAGATTAATTCTTTATGAAAATTATCTTTATTTCAGCTTGATTTAAAATGATAAAATAACTTTTTTACTGATAACTTCTAGATCGATGAACTCCAGCTAAGAGCACTGAACGTCCTAGGTTCGTTTCCTTATTTGGTTATGTATGTCGAATTGTGAGAAATTCAACGTTTTAAAAAAACAAACAGTTGTTTATTCTATATAAGAACTCTCGTCTAAATTAGAACGAATAGTTTCACAGTATTTGAATCTCGCGAGGTGAGGTCGTGTTGTTTATTCCTATCACGTTTTCATTAGTTGTCTAACTAAGGTCAATCTGTGTAAATTACAGAATCTCATTACTATTGTTTTAAAAAACATACTGTACAAAATGAGACCGTTCAGTTACAGAGGTCCGCGCACTGACAGGCTCGACATTTCTTACATTCTTACTGACAGAAAACTAACGTGAGAACAGAGAGAGAAGAACTGAACCAGTTCACATATCAACTAAATAAAAATAAAAGAGTGATGACGTTTAGTCTTAAAACTTCACCTCCTCCCTCCTAGGGATATAGTAAATTGATAACCGGTATTACTTTTTCATTTGAAGGTTTCACAGTATTCATTGAATTATCATGGACTGTTATTTCCGTGGTGTAGTGGTCACCACGTCTGTCTAACACACAGAGGGTCCACAGTTCGAACCTGTGAGAAAACATGCATCTTATTTCAAGAAGTTCCGAAATTTCTCTAGAATAAATTTATATGTTTTAGACATTAACCATTATCTTTTAGCAGTTAAGTAATATAAAAATAAAGTTATCTCATCATACTTTTAACAATATACACCAAATGAAGACGACTATTCTTGCCATAGACTTTATACTAGAGAACATGAGCTGATTAACAGTTACAATCTTCTAAATGTTATATCGATTGAGTGCGTTCTTGCCCAATTGATATATTTGAACATGCTAGTTCCGGCCAATCAGAGAGGAGTGATTTTATCAATCAGAGAAATTATACATAAAAACCGTATTGAGCAGTCTTGAGTGCTTATAAGTTCTGCTTTTCTGCCTAGCCCAGACAGTTAAGTCCAGAACACCAATACCACGCTCTGCAAAATGAATCATTATTCTCAAACATAATGGGTTTATATACCAAACAGATTGACCACATCGTACAATAAAATAGAAAATAACATTTGTACAAGATTTCGCCAAATGTGGCTGCGAATAGGTTGAACATTAACTTATAGACTGGGTATAACTGAAGAATGGTAAATCGTTTAATAATAGTCTATAGGCGTAACTCTGGAAGAGGTGGAAACATTCACGTACCTAGGAAGCATCGTTGATAAACAAGGAGGATCGGATGCAGATGTAAAGCGAGGATTGACAAAGCAAGGACAGCAGTTCTACAATTGAACAACATATGGAATTAAAAACAACTGTCAACTCATTTCAAAGTCAGATTCTTCAATACCAACGTCAAGACAGTCCTACTGTATAGAGCTGAAACGTGAAGAACTACTACAACCATCATCAGGAAGGTACAAGTATTTATGAACAGTTGTCTACGCAAAATACTCAACATTCACTAGTCGGACACTGTCAGCAACAGCTTTTTTGTGGGAGAGGACAAACCAGCTTCCAGCTTATGAGGAAATTATGAAAAGACATTGGAAGTGCATAGCATACAAATTAAGGAAATCACCAATGTGCATTACAAGGCAATCCCTAACTTGGAATGGTAAAGGAAAGTGGAAAAGAGGAAGTCCAAATAATACATTACGCCGGGAAATAGAAGCACATATGAGAAGGATGAATAGCAACTGGAAAGAACTGGAAAGGAAGGCTCATGACAGAGTTGGATGGAGAATGCTGGTAAGCGGCCTATGCTCCTCGATGTGGGATAACAGGCGTAAGTAATTGTAAAAATTGTAAGTAGGTCAAAATAAAGCTTGTAATAAGGTAAACACAAATATGAATAGTTTAGTTACTTACCAATTATAAAATAAGAAATATACATATTATATTAGTGCATAGATAGTTCTCAAAAGTTACCATTCACAATTCTCTTCAGGATATAACATCAAATGAAGACAATTCCTGATACTTCACTTTCACTTGTCTATTTGATTTTCATATCTACTCATCAGTTTTATACGTATTACTTTCAGTGTATACAGTGTTCAGTTGAAATAAATCACACAATTTGGTTTACAATTGTATCTATGTTCGTTTCTTATTGATAGAGTTCTCTAACCTGTTCTGTTTTTCTTTATAAATTTTATAGCCACATGAAGGATTTGCATTTACATTGGGTAAGTTGGTTTTTGAATACATTTATACATTCCTATAAGGCATAAATTGTTGAGTGTTTAAAAAAAAATATTTTCGTCCTATTGTGGAACTCTTCAGGAGTGCGCATCCACGATCCCACATCAAAACTGCCGAATACTGCTTCCAATTTTTTCATGGTGGTCTAGCTTCAATTGACTAATGATCCTAACTGTTGAAATTATTATAATATCCACCAAAACTACCTCTGAAAATTAAAATATTGATAAAATGTAACAAAGATGGAGATAGAAAATTAAGGAAAAAAAATAATTTATCAAACGATATAAACTAGGCTCTTAGATGATTGAAGATAGTTGACAACAAATCCTGGAACTAAATTCCATGTTAACTGATACTTATTAGAAAGGTGTGTATATGATGTTGTTTGAACTGATGCTCAGTATAAGATTTGAAACAGAGACACTCATAACCTTAGTTGTAAAGAATGTTGCTAATATATTCAAGCTTTAATTTATCTCTTATAATGCTGAGATATATACAATGGTAGATTACTAAATAGTGAACAATAACATGTCTGTCTAGGTATTTAGCACAAATCTAATCCTATCGATCAAGTTCTTTGTGTTTAGTGTTTGGATTTTACATTTAGGCAAATATTTACAATTTCATGACGTATGAGAATGAATGTTTATTCTGTGATTTAACTTGGTTACAATTGACCCATGAAGTAGACGTTGATGATTTTGTATAAATCGGCAATTAAATCTAACAATTACTTAAGCCTACTACCATTCGTTGAAGATCATAGGCCGCTCATCAGCTTTCTCTATCCAACTATCTCCCGGGAAATCCATTTCCAGTTGTTCCCAGTTGCTATTTATCCTTTTCATGTCTGCTTCCAATCCCCAATACAGTGTGTTCTTTGGCCTTAGTTTTTTTGGTTTCCCTTCAGGATTACAAGATAGCACTTGCCTCGTCATACAGTTTGATGATTTCTTTAATGTATGTCCTATTCACTTCCAATAACGTTTCCAAATTTTCTCCACAGCTGAAATTTGGTTTGTTGTTGATGGTATCCGGTCAACAGATTTAAGTATATTACATAAACAACTGTTTATAAATACTTGTACTGTTCCTTCTGCAAATATCAGTCCGTCTTCTCGAATTTCATTAATCACGCATTTCCTACAAATTGCGCTTCATTCCCGTTTTTTCCTTATCGGTTTTCTGCCAAAATACATTCTATGTCTGACCATCACCATATACTACTTATGAGGATCTAAGCGGACCACACCACACTATTAGTTCTTCAAGTTTCATCTTCGTAAACTACTCCAGAAATCCAGGAATCATTAAGATACATTCACAGAACTTCAATAAAAGTTTAATAATAACTTAACTATTTAAATTTTAAGCTTGATTAATTCGATTAAAACAATGAACATTTTGTATACTTCATTTGATTTCTTTCATTATTGGATAAAGCTTATCAACAATCAACTTTAATATTACCCAATTTAAAGTGATTAGAACAAATTAGGGTCATTTGATTTTGACGTGTATATCACATAACTATTAGTTTTTATGGTTAAATGAAAAACACACTCAATCACTCACTCACTCACATTATACATCTCCATTTGTTGAATGTAAATATTAATCGAAGTGTAAGATACTACTTATATCTATCTATCTACTGAATTAGTCCAGATTAATTATATCAATATTGGGTTAAATTTGAATTTATAATGTTTTATTCTCAAATAGAAACTTAACACATATTATAGATGACTTAGAAACATCAGTTAAGCGTAAATAAAAAAAATCATCATTGTAAAAATAGAGTGAAGTATAGGGATTAATTATGAGAATGGTAAGTTTGTGGAGATTGTAGTAATTTAAATAGTTGAATATATGAGTTGACTTAAGTTAGACTACCAATAAAAATTTGGAAGGACTGGACAACAGTGTTGTCATAGAATAGGATTCCTCAGCATTGCGAATCCACGATTCCACCAGTGGGGTTTGAATTCAGGACTTTCGGTCTAGCTCAAGAATGCCTAAATTCTAGACCTCTATGCCGGCATCTAACGGTGTTAATTTGTAACTTCAAACAATCCAAGACATTACACCACCATCTACCATCGTCTTCAATGTGATGCTATCTCATAAACAGACGCGGTTGAATTCAACTGGTCAAGGATTCTCACTAGAACTCCAAGAAATCCATCATGAAGTTAGTTGCTAATGAGAACATTATGATTATTATGAGAAAGCGGGATTTGTGGAGATTGCAGTACTTTTTATAGTTGAATTCATGAGTTGATTGAATCTGATGAGTCCCTTACAAGGACCGAACGGTCGTCCCGTGCTTCCAGGTTTCCAGCGGTGGCCTAGTTTAAATCGACTGATGAATTCAACTATTGCAATTATTTAAGATATTTAAATTAAATACACGAAAAAACAATTCAGCGAAGAAAAGTTTCTTTTCAACAACGCAATCTATTGAGGTTAAACACTCGTTTATCCAGTTTCTTTACACATAGTGATCTGTAATAAATGGATATTTACTAATGAAGCTTAACCAAGACGAGATTGCGGCATTTTCCCATTGAAAAGTAGTTGAGCACTGTCATGTTAATCATTGAATACTAAATCCACAGTCAAAATGTTAAGTGCCCTCCATGAGACATGCAAAATCTCCTGTGAAACTGTAGAGTTACATTCTCAGATGAAAGAGCTGTCCATTTCAATCTTGTGTGTTTTATTTATCTACCTAACATTGGTTTCCCATATCAGTAATATTCACTCAAGCACCAAAACTGGTAAATAGGAAACTTCTACATTACTGTCATACACACCAAAAGTTATCTAATTTCATGTGTCAAATACAGCAATTCAATCATCGAAAGGTAATAAGTGTATATAATATGTATTTAAAGTAGACATAACAACAAATGTATAACCAGTCTCTGCATCAATAGGCCTCAACATACACAAAGGAAAAAGCAAGATTCTCAAATACAACACGGAGAACACTAACCCAATCACACTTGATGGCGAAACTCTGGAAAAGGTGGAAACATTCACGTACCTGGGAAGCATCGTTGATAAACAAGGAGGTTCGGATGCAGATGTAAAGGCAAGGATTGGCAAAGCAAGGACAGCAGTTCTACAATTGAACAACATATGGAACTAAAAACAACTGTCAACTCATTTCAAAGTCAGATTCTTCAATACCATCGTCAAGACAGTCCTACTGTATAGAGCTGAAACGTGAAGAACTACTACAACCATCATCAGGAAGGTACAAGTATTTATGAACAGTTGTCTACGCAAAATACTCAACATTCACTAGTCGGACACTGTCAGCAACAGCTTTTTTGTGGGAGAGGACAAACCAGCTTCCAGCTTATGAGGAAATTATGAAAAGACATTGGAAGTGCATAGCATACAAATTAAGGAAATCACCAATGTGCATTACAAGGCAATCCCTAACTTGGAATGGTAAAGGAAAGTGGAAAAGAGGAAGTCCAAATAACACACTACGCCGGGAAATAGAAGCACATATGAGAAGGATGAATAGCAACTGGAAAGAACTGGAAAGGAAGGCTCATGACAGAGTTGGATGGAGAATGCTTGTAAGCGGCCTATGCTCCTCGACGAGGGGTAACAGGCGTAAATAAGTAAGTGAGTAATAACAAGCCACTATCACTTTGATGAATATAACTATGTCAAAGATGCGAGTAATATGTGTTAAAAACAACTTATCAAATAAGAAGAGGTTGTTAGAACCATGATAAAGTAGTGGATTCGCCATAAATTTTTTAAACATATAGACTATGATGGAACTGATGAATCTACAAAATCTCCAGCTTTCCAAAGAACCAGTTTAAGTGATTTTATGAATGTTTTTAATGAAAGTTTGTGATGCAAATAAATGATTAAAATTGACTAGATATTCCAAACTAACTAATTGATTTGCATTCACCTTATGGAGAACCATTCTGGGTGGTATTTAGATATGAGTTTAGAAAGAGCACTTGTTAAGTGGTCAATATAATATCCTTTATTGAAACAAATATACTAGTAGGTACATACTATAATATCTCAAAGTAGGAACTTCATTGGTTAAAGTCTTCAAAATACAGATTGTTTTCTCATATAATGTAAGAGGAGTAAAGTGTTCAAGTCATGTATCTAGTGTTGAACTATCATAATACCGTATAAACAATCCTCTTGATATTATCCAAAATCAAATATAGTTTCTATATATCTACTGTTCCCCAGATCAACAACTTATAACCTTTGATGTTTCAAATTAGTTTATCCGTGTGGTTTTCAGTGTCCGATAAGTGCACAGTACCTAGCAACTTCGAACATTTTCCCCTATATCTAGTAAGTGAGTGTTGTATGCAGGAGTGTTACTTTCATTTAAAATATCAGAAACTATTCTTAACTGTCTTCTATGCCAAATCAGTATAGTGTATCTCAATCTCACACATGTTTCATAACCTAAATTATACAATAAATTGAAAATACGTATACAATTCAATACGGCTGGAAGTCATTACAAATACATATTAATAAAGTGTAAAACTGATGTGAACGATGTTATGTAATAAAACAAAATTATAGTAAATACACATACATAACAGAACAATTTAGACCACTATTGGAAACCTACGAGTACTTAAGGATCATTTCATTCTAGAATTAAACATTGACAATAGTGTGTATCCACGATTTGAAATCTACTGATCATGATTAAAATTAGGCATTTTTATCGTTGTATCCTATCTCAGTTGTTTAGAACTTAAGCATTCTCTTGTGATACCGAAGCTTTTGAGCTCTATTTTCACTTGTTGGGTTGTAGATGCAAACTTTTGGAAAGCCTAATACTAAGATGAAATGACTCTTCAATACTCAAAGTCTTTGAGCAATGTTCTGATCTAGATCATTTCTTCATTTAAACTTTGAACATTTCACAATCACCACAGCTCCCTAATTCATACCCTCTTTTATTCCTATTGTTTTTAGAAAAAATTCCTGAACATTGTGGTCGTAATGCATTTGATAATGAATGGCGTAAATATTTTGGTAAACCGATCAATAAACGTATTGTTGGTGGTAGTGCTACAGCATATGGTGAATGGCCATGGTTAACATCATTAATGTTTTATCAAACAGCGGAACAAGTTAAAAAACAAAAAGAATTACAAATAAAATCGAATGAAGAAGAATTAGAATTCTTAGATGAAATTAATAAAAATGAAGAGATTCTAGAAGAAATTGATCCATTTATACCACCATCACTTGTTTATAATTATCCAGATGGTAGTCGACGGTTTCATTTATGCGGTGGTACATTAATACATCCACAATGGATAATGACAGCAGCACATTGTTTTTTGTAAGTTATTTGTTATTTGAATTTACTTTTTGTGTTGATTGTTTGATCAGTCTCATATTGGCATATGTGCTTCCTGTATGGATTGTTTTGATATTCCCCTATGAGTCACAAGTATTATAAGCAGAGATAGATACTGGCCGGTACATCCAGCTGATGAGTCCATAATAGGTTGAAACGCGCGTTCTAGGTTCCACTGTTAGCCATCTTTGCTTATAATGCTTGTGATTTAAGACAGTATCGAGACTGTCCGTACAGTATGCAAATATGCCAAAAAGAGGCTGACCAGTTGTAGTCCTAAACATCAATGGGAAGATTCAAACAAGTAGTACTAATAGAATTCAAAGTCTAATAGGTTTGTATTCATTCAATGTAAAAATTCATGATATTCGTTTTATTTCCCATGTGACATTTGCCAATGGTTTAATTCCTAATGTAACATTTTAGTCAATGAGGTAATGAAATTATATTCTCTAGTGTGATATTAATTCAAATTAATGCTGGAACGAAATGGTTATCCAATGTTTCTGGGTTTTTCATGATTGTCTAGTTTTAATTGACACATGAATTCAATTATTGAAAATTTTATATCAGAAAAGGTTTTTGCGGATATTACAGGAATTTTAATAGTTGAGATCAGGAATCAGTTGAAGATAGACCACCATGGAAAACCTGGAAGTATTGAACGGCCATTTCGTTCTATTATGGGACTCCTAGGCAGTTTTCATCCATTATCTCGCCTCATGAACTTCAAACTCAGAATATGTCGGTCTCGTGCAAACGCCTTACCTCTAGATCACTCAACCAGCATCTGATGGTGTTAGTGTCTAACTTCAATCAACGTCTGTAGTGATTTCCTATCTCACAACAGACCTGGTTGAACTCCACTGGTCATTGCTTCTCCCTGGAACTCCAGGAAATACCTCTGAAGACAGTCACTGGTGAGGACTGCTGAAGAGTATCGCAATGGGACGAAACGAGTGTTCAGTGCAACTGTAAGCACTGAACGGCCGTTTGGTCCTAGTATTGGGCTCCTCAGCAATGCTCATCCACAACTTGCGCACTTATCAGTGGTCTGGAGCGTTTGCGTACAAGAATAAAGGTCCTTCGTCTCTCGTTCAGGATGTACACTACTAAAGAGTCCCATACTAGGATGAAACGGCTGTTTAGTGCTTTCATGTTTTCAGTGAGGGTCTAGCTTAGATCGACTCATGAATTCAACTGGTAGAATTGATTGAAGTTAGAAATATAAATTATTAGGTAACAATTCATCTCTACAAATGTTGAGTTGTCATTGGACGATCTGATGGCTTTCGATTCAATCCTACCTAGGATTGTGGACCCGACTCCTTAAATGTACCATACTAGGATCAAACAGCTTTCCAGAAATACCTAATCTTCAATGATCATCCAACTAGGTTGTATCAAACATATTAATTAATTAATTTCCTAAAATTTTGTTAAGTTCAATCTAAATTAATTCATTATAACAAAATGTATCCATTCATTAACTTCATAAATTATTTGATTTATATTTTAACTAATAATTTAAAAACGTAATCCACTTAAAGGGTTCAAATCAGGAGTCGATTGAAACTAGGCCAACTCGAAAATCCAGGAATCACTGAACAACAGGGTCGTCATAGTATGGGACTTCTCAGCAATACACATCCACGATCCCGCTAGCCGGATTTGAATCCAGAAACTTCGGTCTAGCGCAAGAACGCCTAACCTCTAGACTACTGTGCCAGCCGGTATCTAACAGTGTTAATTTGTAACTTCAACCAATCCACGAAATTGCACCACTGTCCACCATTGTCTTCAATGAGATACTGCCTCATAACGCACACGGTTGAACTCCACTAGTCACGGCTTCTCACTAGAATTCCAGGACATTCGTCTTGAATTCAGTCGCTAGTGAACACATGATGACTATTATGAGTAAAAGCGGTATTTGTAGAGATTGTAGTAATTTAATTGTCGAAATCATGAGTCTATTTCTATTCTACTTATGACTTCAACTATTAAAAATTGGGACAATCTACATCAAACCCCCCTTTCATCATAATAATCCAGTTTGAATCAAATGAAAAGTTAAAGAAAAACTGTAGTTTCTCGTTTGTTTATTCAACATTTTACGTCTTTAACTTAAACAAAGAAAAAAAAACCTACATCATCTGTATCTTGAATAAACATGAATATTTTAGAGTTATCTCCATTCATTCATATGTAAATAATACAATGGTCAAGATTAATCAATCAGAGGATCAGAAACATTTTAGAAAATGGGGGGATATTTGTGGAGATTCTAGTAATTTTTTTTTATATAGTTGAAATCATGAGCCAATTGAAGTTAGACCACCATGGAAACACTGAAAGCACTAAACGATCGTTTCGCCCTATTATGCAATGCTGGGGAGTCCCACATTAAGACGAAACAGCCATCCAGTACTTCCAGATATTCCATGTTGATTTAGCTTCAACTGAATCATGATTTCAACTATATAAGAAAAAAAAAAACATTTTATTTACAAAATAAAAAGTAACTCATTTGTTTACAATCAAAATCTTTTGTTTAAGTGTGTGTGTGTGTGTGCGTGTATGTGTGTATGTTTTCTTCTTCTTTTTTTGATTAAATAAAACAAGAGTAAATACACAGAAACAATCATTGAGTAAACTAATTCAAAGCTGAACTAAATTAAATTCATAATGAGTAGTATATTTAAACTAACGTTGGAATCAGGGAGGAGGAGGAAGAGGAGGAGGAGGGAATGAAAGTGTTAAAATTGTAAGGAACATTTGAAAAAGAACTATTATGAATTTTATATAGTTGAAATCATGAATTAATTGAAGCTAGTGTACAATGGAAAACCTGAAAGAACTGGACGGCCTTTTCGTCCTATTGTGGGACTCCTCAACAGTGTGCATCCACGATCCTACTTAGAGAGATTCTAACTTAGAACCTGTGAGTCTTGTGTGCTGTGGAGTCTCACAATAGGACGAAACAGTCGTCCAGTTCTTCCAGGTTTACCATATTGGTCTTGCTTCAATTGAATCATGATTTCATCTATTAAAATTACTATAATATCCACAAAAACTCATTCTGATATTAATGTATTTTTTTGTATAAACTTTATTAAAAAAAATGGTAATTCGCAGTACTTGTATGATTTAAATGATGTCTTACTTGTAACAATGATTAAATTATAGCTACTATCTTACATCTAAAAAACGATTATGGTTAATTTTGATTAAGCTCTTTTATTAACTTAACAGACATTGTAATTTTGATAGTAACAATTCACATATATTCAACTTAGTATTTTGATGTTGGTTTGTTCTCTGAGCTGGATGGTCCCAGCTCAGAGAACAAACCAACATCAAAATCACCCACCTGAGCTACAAATCTTCTCCACCATCTCAACTTAGTATTGTTTGTTTGAATCTTCCCATCGATTTGTTAGGACTGCAACTGGTCAGTCTCCACCACTGCTAGCCACTATCCATCTCTGCTAACCAATTCACATATACCTTTGTACTGTTATGATTAATAGAGAACATAACAGACTCCAGCCAAAATGTTGATTACTTAAATATCATTCGATGACATTCTCCTTCCTATATATGTATTCACTGAAATCCTATTAATAGCTTTTGCTTTGTCTTCCAACGCCTTTATACAATTTGACTATAAATTTGCCTATGTAATTGTTTGCGTTTGTCCGCTGATACTTAATCATGTGCTTGTAGCTTTGTATCGTGCATCGTTTGTTAATAAAACTGTAGTCGTAGCTTTGCTTTACACCATTATGATTGGTATTATAACAGTTATCAAAGTGAAGGACTTGACACACATGTGACATTGATCACCATCTAGTGATCAATCAATTGTAACTTCATAATTCAAATAATCAGTTCCCAAATCATTTATTACATAACTTCATTGGTTTCATAGAATGACTAGAATAGATTAGATTTGTTTATTTAAAGAATCATTCTATTTATTATTCCCTCTTATCCGGCATTAATTGTTAATGGACTATTTCATTAGACAGAAACAAATCAAATCAATTATTCATTGAGTATATGATTGAGTACATATTATGTAATCACTATTACTATTATTACTATTACTATTACTACTATTACTATTCATGTATTATGGTATACCTAATAAGAATTCGTTAACAATGAATAATTAATGTATTAGGTCGAGGAACTATGAAGATTACGCAAATAACCTTTTGATTGTTTATCACTTTTGATATACTTTAATAGAACTAATAATCTTCAGTTGTTATACTGTGTAGGTTACTAATCAATTAAACTGAGACATCTTACTTGATAATTTCTATTGAATAATATAGTGAGCAACAAATTAATCATATTGTATGAAGAAACTCTGGTAGAGGTGAACACATTTATGTATCTAGTGGGGGGATCATTGATGATGAAGGAGGATCTGATACAGATACTTCTTTACTTATGCCTGTGACCTCACATCGTAGAGAGTTATAGGCTGACTATCATGATTCTTTATCCAACTCTGTCCTTGGAAATCCTTCCTAGATGTTTTCAGTTGTTATCCGTCCTTTTTAGTTCTGCTTCTATTTCCTGGCGTAGAGTATTCTTTGGCATTCCACTTTTTCGCTTTCCTTCCGGATTCTAAGTTAACTATTGCCTCATGATTCAGTTTGGTAATTTCTTGAATGTATATCCCACCAACCACTTCCAAAATTTTTCGCTAATTTGGAATTATATATATGCTTTGTGGATGAAGGAATGAGTATTCTATTTGAGCTTGTTTCTATTAAATTTCAGTGATTAAAAAGACTTTCCTTCAATGGAACATTTCAAAATGTAAATACAAATTAAACTCGAACATTCGGTTCTTCCTTTGCTTTTAAACTCGTGTATTACATCTTCTGAGTTGTTTTGAACTAACTGGAAAACAGATAAGATGTATCAAATCTTAAATCACTTATCATTATCCTCTGCAACATAATTGAATAATACAAATAAAATCAAAAAGGTACAGATAATTATAAACAGTTGTGTACTCAACATACTGCGAATTTGTTGGCCGAATAATATCCGTCACAACCTACTGTGGAGAAGAATAAACCAGCTTCCAGTTAGAGAAAAAAACGGGAAACACTCCGGAGGTGGGCAGAACAAATACTGCGGAAATCACCAAGGTGCATTACAAGACAAGGCTCAACTTGATATTCTAAAGGCAAAAGGAAAAGAGGATAAATAAAAAACAAATCGCTTGAGGAATCAGAATGAATACGTACAACTTGAAAACTATTGGATAACCCAGGAAAAAAAATAGGTTGGATAATCTTCGTCGGCAGCCTATATTCTATGAGTTACAGGCATAAATAAGTAAATAAGTAATGACAGCATCTTGATCACTCCTTATTAACATTACACTAAGACAGAAATGTACATAATTCTTCATAAGAGAGCTTCTTAATTCCCAGAAGAAATAAGTATTATAACTTGACTACACTGTTTGATGTTGACGGCTGTATACTATAAACAATGCTAACCTAAACAAATAGCATCAAATGTCAATGAGATAACAAGAATTGGAAAGTCATTATGGATTACGTCATTCGTTCGAACTAAAAGTTTTTAGACAGGAGTAGATAAAACTTTGGATAACCTAAAGCTCCATTAGTATACTGTTCTAATCTATAAAAGATAAGTTTGAATTAATACTTATGAGAAGGGGTTTTGTGGAAATTTAGTATTTTCATAGTTGAAAGCTTAATTCAATTGAAGCTTTCAATCATGAAAGTTTAAACTAAGTTGTTTAAATCTCCCCATTGATGTTTGGGACTGAAGTTGATTAGTCTATTATTGACACATATCCATTCCGTGTAGATCACCTCGATATTGCCTTAATTCACAACTATTATAAGCAGAGATAGATGCAGGCTTACATTGGAATCCAAGATGCGTGTTTCGTTTTATTTGACAATAGTCAGCTGGATATACATAGATCCGAGTTGATCCTCACTCCGAGACTCGAACCCAATACCGTTCATTTCAAACGTGATCATGTTATCCTGTTTGAAATCATATTCTATCATTCTGTCTATCTTGTATTCATGTTTTTTTTTGTAGCCCAAATCCATTTTATCCACATCTATCAGCGAATCCATTAAGTTGGATTGTACGAATTGGTGAACATGATATGTTGAATGAATCAATGGAACATTACGATATGTCTGTGGCACATGTTTATGTACATCCACAATATCAATGTGAGTTATTCATAATTATGATTAGTTAATTTTACACATATAATAATCATGATAGATAGTTGAAAAATTTACATTCTTCACTAATATTATGTAATAGTATGGTGTATGCTACTTATGTCCGTTGAAATAAGTAGTACGTAATACCAATCAGAAGTGGAAAATCTGACAGCAGAAGGTTATGAAGGCCAACTTGAAAAAACGGAAACGGAAACAGAAAGGAGCTATAACTTGAAAGAAGCATAATTAATCTAGAGGATAAATTATTCAACGTATGGTTCTCATATTTTACCAAGAGTTTCTGTAATCCTTACCTGAGTTCTCGTTCATAACAGTAGGATCAGTGGAAATATCTTTGAGATATCTTAGCAATCCATTACCCTATACGACTACACTTAAAAAGCACATATACCATAATTATTATCAGAAGGGAATTTGTAGAGATTTAGTCTCACGCCAGAGCACTTAACCGAGACTGGTAGGTCGTGGGTTCTAATCTCGTGAGGCGACGTCGTGGATGCGCACTGCTGAGGAGTCCCACAGAAGGACGAAACGGCCGTTCAAACTTTCAGGATTTTTCCTGGTGGTCTAGCTTCAGTTGACTCACGTTTTCAACTATGAATATACCATAATTAAATTCCAAACTTTTAAATTACAAAATAGAAATGATATCATCTATTCAGTCAGTTGTTAATCATCGTTATTTCTTAATATCGTGATGAATGAACACTTAATTAGAGAAGATCAGTATATACTTCTATGAATCATTCCATTTCTGATTAGTGTCACATAATACTTATATTTAACGATAAGTAGCATACACCACAAAATATTATTCAGCCAATTTGTATATTAGTAGATTGTTATTCTCATGGCTAAAATCATGAGTTAGTTGAAGTAAGACCACCATGGAAAACCTGGAAGCACTGAACGGCTATTTCGTTTTATTATGTGATTCCTCATTCCGCATCCACGAGACCGCTCTCGCTAGTTTCGAACCCAAGACCTACCAATCTCTCGCTGGAGCACTTAACCGACAGACCACTGATCCAGAATCCAATTGTGTTAAACTGCTTTTCGGTGAACTTACAAATGTTTAATAAACAATGAAAAAAATTCATTGTATCATTGGAAAATTATTACAGGAAAAGTATCCAAGAAATTTTCTTTTAGACGATCTGATTTATAGAAGCCGTGGTGATCTATATATATTCACTTATACAACAAATAAATAAATGTAAGCAAAAATGGCTAGTGGCTTGTAGTGGAATGGAGGACACACGTCTCGTCCTATGTGGAACTCGTCAGCTGGATGTACCTGCATCCCAGAGTTGATATTCACTCTGAGACTCGAACCCAATACCTTTCGTTTCAAACACCATTGTTTTAATCACTCATCGACTGAGTGACAAAAGCATGAATTTTATAGTTATCTTCAATTTGATAGTTATCATCAATCATTTAAACTTATATTACTAGTGTGGTGTGTGCTACTTATATCGACCTAAGTAGTATACAACGCCAATCAAAAATAGAATGTCTGGCATCAGGAAATCGAGATCAAGAAGAAAAGAGAAGGAAGAGAAAGCGGTTAGTATGGAAATGAAGGAACAGTGTGTAGTGAACAGAACACTAGTTGGGGACAATCGAATGTATTTAAGCAAACATTACAGACTATCTCAGTAAATTCTGATTACCAAACAATGAACAGTCAATTTGCAAATTAACAACCAATTGTTTCAATCTTCACTGTTTCTTTTCTAATTCCATTGCTCATGCATTTTCCAAACGATTGCGCTTAATTTCAGTTCTTTCCTTATCGGTCTTCTGCCAAAATACATTCTATGTCTGACCAACACCATATACTACTTATATAGATATAAGTAGACAACACCACAAGTGTAGTGTGAGACAATTGATTGACATTTTGCAAATGAAGTATATACACTGTATGGTTATCAGATTTTACTAAGATTTTCTGTAATTTCGTGCTTAAATACATTCGGTTGTCTCCTATTTGTGTTCTCGTTCACTACATTAGAAGGAGTGAGTTAGAAAGTACATTTGTTTGATGCCATATTTAAAAGAAGATCAAATGACTCTTTACCAAGATCTATGTATAAGAAATAAATTTTGGATTGGTCAATGTATTAACTTTCAAAAATTGAGTCCGATTGAATATTAGATGAGAAACTTGATACGATCTTCATTCTCTTGATCTCGATGAATATACCCTAATATCATAAAAGATGAAGAAATACCTTTAATTAAAAAAATTATTCATCAGAAATGACTGACACTCTAAATTTAATGGTAAAAACCTTAAATTCAAATGCAACCTGAATGAATGTTTTCAATTCAGAAGATATCCTTCATCAAAATTAAATTTAATTAGGGTTCCAGTTGCGAGGAACTTTAAAAATTGGATTTCGAAGTCTCAAAGATATAATTTTCTTATCTGGATTGTATTCGTAGGCTTTGATATCATACTTGTATTGAACTATAACTGTGAACAATTTCTATGTGACTCTATAAGTTAATTTAACATTTTGAGGGGAGGGTTACACTAAACTAACTTATACTGAACGTCTTTTAGAATATTATTGTTGGAGTAATCCAGAAGATTTCACTTCAAAAACAAGAAAGTCTCAAGAAGCACTAAGAAGCATTTTATTCAATCAACGTTCACTGAAAGTTTTGCCATGAACATCACGAAAGTGAAAAGTCACGTGTAGAGTTTCTGATTGGCTGATTACTACATTGCTACTATATTTAGTAGCATTTCAGAATTTTCGAGAGAAAACCCAAAGACTACTAAAGTGCTATTAAAACCCCTTTATATTCTGTACGTAAAGAAACCTTTGAATTAAAGCGCTTCCCGTACATCTTTTTTGCATTTTCTTTCATGTTCAAGTTGCTGTGTTGATTTAGCTTGGGGGTTACAAGAATAGCTTGCGAACCGAGTATAGCGTTCAGTTAACAAGGGGGGAATAGAAAACTATTAACCCTTTAATCATTCATAAAATATCAATGTAGTAAACCGTTTAAGCTTAAGAAGTATATATCTATGAAAAAAACACTTCTATAATGAAGAAGCTCCATGAAGTAAGCAGTTTATGTTGCACATATAATCTCTCATTTTACCATGGATCTTCCCTTTTCCATTGTTGTTCAGGATTGTAATTGATCAGTCTCTCTTATCGATATGGGGATCCTGTATGGACTGTTTTGATATTGCCTAAAGTCAGAAGCAGATATAAATGGTGGCCAGACATGACATCCAAGATGTATTTGACCTAGGCTGTAGCCAATTGTTATGACTTGATCAAGGTCGTCGCTGATTTGTTATGACTTTACGAATTTAACAAGGACGTAAACCGCGTAAATTATCTACCAATAGAATACGCCTCCTAGGACCTACACACTGTGACAATGACGTTCGATCAGTATGAGTAATCTAGCGTCCTTAATGGTCCTTAATCTGCCTAACCCGTACACTTGAGTCCAAAACACCAATAGCAGCTGCTGTAATGTGAATCATTTATTTGAAACATACTTTGTCTATATACCACACAGGCAGACCACACCATAATATAGAAAATAATATTTGTACAAAATCAAGCCAAATGAGGTTGTTAGCGTGGGAGACAGTATTCATTAAACCGAGTATAATTTAGGAACAATAAATCATATAATATTAATCAATAGGTCAGAATGAAGCTTGTAATAGGATGAATATATACATAGATAATTTAGTTACTGGATAGTTATACAATAGGAATATAAATAGAATAATAGTCTAATATAAGATCTCGTAAGTCATCCTTACTTACTTTTTCCCTAGTATATGACAAACACTTCATCCTTAATAGCTAAATAGAGTACGCGATGGTACTTGTAGTAAACAGTACTGAGTTCTAGTCCCTTAATGAACATTAACCCATATCTATGTACATCCAGGTGATGAGTTCCAAATAAGACGAAACAAGCGTCCTCGATTCCACTGTTAACTATCATTCATTTGTGTTTACATGTTTTAGTTTAAAATTGGTGTATTCTTTTCTGCTACAGTTCGTTTTTTAAACAAATATGCACTTGATGTGTAATTAAACGTTACTGACCTCAAATCTTTAAAAATGGAAGAACACTACTTAATGAATATACTTTGTCTGTCTACTTTCCCTTTACACATTAACGACCTACTACTAACTATTATTTAGTAGTTTAAATTATATTAATATATTTTTCTGGCTTTAATATTGTAACGTCGATAACAAGCTAATGATCAGGAACTTATCCATCATAAGTGAATTAAGCCAGTTTTTTTTCATTGCTTATCTTTAATATGTTGGGCAGGGTAGTTTATTTTGTTATTCACTTATATTATTCATTGTTACATTTGTGTACTATTTTCCAGTTTATAGTATCAGTTATAATTACATTATTATCCGAAGGTGTTTTTGTGAAGATTTAGTATTTTCATAATTGAAAGCGTGAGTCAAATGAAGCTCTGGCGCGAGACTAGTAGGTCCTGAGGTCGAATATCACGTGGCAAGGTCATGGATGAGCACTATTGAGGAGTCCCACAATAAGATAAAACGGCCGAAATTACCACGATACTTCAATGTCCTGACTTTGATTGCCGGCTTGATATCCGAAAGTTCATATACATCGATTAATCAAAACATTTTGACCAACATTATACACTACTAGTAGTAGTGGCTAAAACTTCCCATCCTACCACATAAAAAACCTACGTACATTAGTGTTAAGTAATATATGTGTACAACAAATAAGAATTATGCTCACCTCCATAGATAAATAAGCACAGGCTGCTTCTACCCACTATCCAATGATATTAGATAGAGTTGAATTCAAAATTGATTGATCACTAGGTGGTGACCTCCAGTAGGTCTGAGATATAATCACAATTGATTGATCACTGGCTGATGGTCAATGTCATGCACCAGTTCCCTCAAAACGACAGGTACACCATGCTGAAGAGTGACAAGTAGCACGAAACTCGGGTCAAGGGTTTCTTGTTGACCACCTCCAACCACCATCTTACCTCAACAGTTGTTTTCAATATTTACTATTCGTATACTGTTTATTCCTGTAAATGTCATAGATACTTTTATTATTCTTTTTTCAGCTGCTTCTAGCAGTGGTTATGATATAGCCTTGGTAAAATTAACAAAACCAGTAAAATTAGGTAGATATGTGAATATTGCTTGTCTACCATCAGCTGGTGAAGAAATACAACCAGGTCAAGAATGTATAAGTGTCGGTTGGGGACATGAAATCGATGGTAAGTTTTATTACTAACATCATTTTTTCTTCTATTATACATTGTATATGTAACAATCATAAACATTTCGTTCTCTTGTATTACCGTTACAGTGAACGAGAATACAAATGAGGACAATCGAATGAATTTGATTACGAAATCTGAGTACCGCACAATATATACTTTATATCCAAATGTAAATCAATTGTCTCAGAATTGACTGTTCCTTTATTTCCATAGCAATCAATCACTGTTCTCGTTCTCTTTCCTTCGATCTTCTTAATCTTCTGTCTCCCGACCTTTCATCTTCGACTGATGATGCATAATATTGATATCTGTCGACATCAGTAGCACACAGTACACTGTCACAATCTGTTCAGATTGTATATCTTGTAAATGACAACATGGAGAATAGTTAGGCAATATAGACATGTTGATTAGAGAAGGTGATTGTAAAGCCGTGACCTAGAAGGTTTATTATTAAGAAAGATCATTAAGTTCTTCAATCCTAAGACTGTATAGCGTATCAAAGAACTCATAAAAAGGAATATTCCACTTTAAATTGTCTCATTTTGATAAATTTTCAGACTTATACTATATGGTAGAACATAATACATTTTCTATTATGTCAAAAACAAATCATCCAGGCTTTTGAATGTTTACAACTTATTAATAGCATCAGTTCATAAAGTTATTGACAATGGAACTAATCCATTCAGCTATCTTCAGACTAGATTGTTGGAATTTGCATAACTATCATAACTACAGGTTAAACTTTTCAAGTGATATACCTTAGAACTGTTTGCAATAATGTAAGCATAACTAGTCTATGTCTTTCCTCTGATCCTGAATCCAAAATCATGTCATAGGTGTTTTGTTTCTACACCACCATTTTTCCATTACTACTGGTACTGTTACTAATTCTTCTACTCTATGATTTATCGTACATCTATGGTAGGGCTACTTGAACAGATATACATATGTGGTTGGTTACATATTGTACATAATAGAATGACTAATTAACTAATTCATCAACAAGACGTATCTATAGAAGTTAGGTGAACTTCCATTTATTTTAAGGATTTCAAATCATACTTCATCTCATATTTCACCAAGTACTAAATAGGATAACATTGATTATCACCTCATTTGTCCATCAACATAATGATCGGATGCTTTACAGAATAGAATCGAATAGAATGAATAGGGAAAATCTTCAATTTTTGGACAATGTGAATAATTCATTCACAAATTGACTGCCTTCAAAAACGATCTCCTGAACTTCTGTAATTAAATAATGATTAATGAAGTCACAAGTGATATAAATACTGGTAGGTCCTGGGTTCGAATCTCACGAGACAGGATTGTGGATGCGCACTGCTGAGGAGTCCCATGATATAAATGTCTTTGAATGAAGTTCTAACTATATCTTTCATTGACTGATATGAATTTTATCGTTCTCTTCTAAAGGATCCAATAGTAATAGGCTTATTACTATGTGAAATCATGAATATCTATGGATAATTAAGTTATCCAGCTATTCAGTGTACTATGACTTTCAACAGTTTACTCATATATAACATTAGTTACAATAGGCATACTAGTTAAATTGAATATTTCTCTCAAAAATTGAAGAATCATGCTCCAGGATACAATATGACTCTGAATACGTTTCACACGAATTTCAATTGTCTGCGTAAATCTGGAAAGTTTCATTGTTTTCTAGACAACATCATAGCTTAGAAATTATTGTGATGTCGGTTACTGATATTAACATAAGTAGCATATGGTAATAGTCGAGCATTGAATGGATTTCGGTAGAGGATCGATAAGGAGAGAACGGGAACGGCACACAATTGGTACGAAAATGCATGAACAATTATAATCGGAGACTATGGACGGATATTCGCAGAAGAAACAGTAACATTGAGACAATTGATTGTTATTTTGCAAATTAATTGTTTACTGTATGATTCTCATATTTTAATGAGATATTCTGTAGTTTTTTGCTAGAATACATTCAATTCTCCCTAACTAGTGTTCTTATTCGCTACATTATGACAAAATAGACTTCATTCAAATTCATTTAGCATTGTTTGTTTGAATCAGGACTATCAGGACTTAGTGGCTGAGAGGATAACGCGATGGCGTTTGAAGCGAGGGTACTGTGTTCGTGTCCCAGAGTGAACATCAACTTTGAAATGCAGGTACATCCAGCTGACGAGTCCCAATTAGGACGAAATGCGCGTCAAACTGGATTCCACTGCTATCCACTATCCATTTCTGTTTAGATTGCATTCCGTTTATAATGTTATTTCATGTACCTCAGCCTTATGACCATCTTATCTGTTTACGCTTGTTACCCCTCGTGCAAGAGCATAGGCCGTCCATCAGCCTTATGACCATCACTGTGATCCTATGGAATAATGTTTGGTTAGTTCCACGTTTCTGAACAGTAAATGTATTGAAAATAGCACGTAAATAAGAAATGAATAAAGTGTCACTTGGAAAACACTATATAAATGATGAAGTATCCAATAAAAAGAGTAATCTATTACTGACATTTCAACTTCTAAAGACAATAGGTCATTCAACTATTAATAGTCACATAAAGACAGGTCATGTAAAGGTCAGACTGGGTCGAACTGATGACAAGGTAAGGCACATATTATGTTACTTCTTTGAATAACTGTGATGTGTGCTACTCATGCCAATAGATATAAGTTGTATGTATCATCAATTGAAAGGGAAATGTTTGGCAGAATAAGATTAAGAAGATCGAAGAAAAGGAAACGAAAACAGTGGATGATTACTATGGAAACGAAGGAACAGTGATGTCTGAAACGATTGATTGACATTTGTAAATGAAGTATATATTGAATGGTTCTCAGATTTTACTAAGTGATTCTTTAATTTTGTCCAAATACATTCGACTATCCCCACTGGTGTTCTCGTTCCCTGCATAAAAATTGGCAAGCTTCAATGGATGTTCAAACAATAATTTGTACTGTTCAATGGTGTTGTTATACAGTTTACTATATTTAAATTTTAGATCAAAAGCGGTTTTGAGGAGATTTCAGTATTTTCGTAGTTGAAATCATGAGTCAATTGAAGCTGTACCGCCATGGAAAACCTGGAAGCACTGGACGGCCGTTTCGTCCTATTAAGGAACTCCTCAGTGGCCATGCGCATCCACGATCCCGCACTCGCGAGATTCGAATCCAATTCTGTTGCATAGATATCAATTCACTGAAGACAATTGGTGAGCGGTTGCTCAAACATCGTGGATTCGTTGAAGTTAGACTTTAACAGGCTCTGTGGTCCGTCGATTAAGTGCTCTGGCATGAGAATGGTAAGTCCTTCGTTCGAATCTCGCCGGTGCGGGATCGTGGATGTGCACTGCTGAGGAGTCTCATAATAGGTTAAGACAGCCGTTCAGTACTTCCAGGTTTTCCATGGTGATCTAGCTTCAATTGAATCATGATTTCCACTGTAAAAATATTTAAATTTCACGAGTAATTTGGATTCCTAATGAAATACCCTTAAGTAAGTTTATTTACAATACTCTTTCTAATTTAGGAGCAAAAAATATTTCAACAATATTGAAACATGTTGGTGTACCAATTGTTCCAAATGATCAATGTACAATGAATTATGCTACATTACGTAATGGACCAAATCCTATTGATGTTACTATAGAAAGTAATGTCATTTGTGCAGGACATGCAGATGGTGGTAGAGATGCATGTCAGGTAATGAATAATTAATTTTTTGTTGATTTTATAATGGGTATATAATAAATGGATTATAGGTCTCTTTTTCAGTTGTTTCCAAGTGCCAATTCTCAGCTCAATTATCTTTTATTGGTTTGCCTCTCTTCATACATTGAGGATTCCAAGTTAAGGCAAGCTTTGTAGTGTAGTTTGATAAGTTCCAGGAAGATAAAGTTATTGTTGATATGATTACTCAGTGCATTGACCCTCAATGTTGATACTTTTCGGCAATTGTGATCCTGATTACGTCATTCAATGAGACTGTGTGAGTTATCAGTGTCTATATGATCAATCCCTCAAAAAAAGCATTAATTCTCTTAGGTCCCCTTCCAAATAAGATGACAATGAAATAAAACAATTTTGACGTTCTATTGATCTTGTTTCTTAGTCAAAAGTGCATCAAGTAATTCTAAAGGTCAGTCTGTTCTCTTGCAATTATATCACTATAACATTCGTGAGAAGCATTGGACATCATCGATGTTAATTGATTTAGAGGCAGGCGAATAAAAACATTTGATCGCAAACATAAAATATGAATTTCGTCGTCCACTAATAAACATTAAATTCATTTATGATCTAAATGTTGAACTCCTGGGTCAATTGAAGCTAGATCACCATGGAAAACATGAAAGCACTGGACGGCCATTCTGTTGTAGTATGTAACTCGTCAACAGTGTGCCAGCGAGATCGTGGATGCTCACTACTGAGGAGTTCCATACTAGAACGAAACGGACATTCAGTGCTTCCAGATTTTTCATGGTAATCTAGTTTTAATTGACTTATGAATTCAACTGTTAAATTACTAAAATATACACAAAACCTCTTTCTGATAATAATCATTTATCATTTTCCTTTCCTTTATCTTAGTTTGATTCTGGAGGTCCATTAATGTGTCAAATTAAAAAACAATGGATTGTCAGTGGAATAATTTCATTCGGTTACGGATGCGGTAAAGCAGGTTACCCAGGAGTATATACACGAGTATCAGATTATATTCCATGGATTAAAGGCATAGCTGAAGTGTTCACATTTTAAAAATTACAATCTTTACTAAGTTATAAGCAGAAAAAACCCTGCTAACCAAAGTTATTATTTCCTTTGATTTGAACAGATTCACAATGGAGAAAAACAGATTCATAGAAAATAAACAAATTCAATTTCAAACAGTTTGCCTGTTAGATTGTCATTGGCGATTTCAATGTTCACTTATTTAAAAAAAGAAACAAAATTCCGTTACAATTTAAAGAAGAGGATAATTTAATTAATTCACTTTGCTTACTCATGAGTAGTTAAGAATTAAAATCGAAATTTTGAGGAAGAACTTTTGAAGTAGATTTAATAATAATATATTCTGAAAATAATATTTACAGAATTCACACCAGTTTACAGGCATGATCAGATTGTTATAAAAATCAACATTTAATGTAGAGAACAAACATGAAATATAAGAAAGTTTTATGTTTGCTGGTTTAGTAATTGATAAATAGTTTAAATATGGCATATGTCACGGCAAGCCAATGCAACACCTCGGAACTTGTCATTTTTTCATTAAGTGGATAGCCTGATGATTGATCAACATTGTTCTGTAAGGTTATTACCAGTGCCAGAGAGAGTTATTATTAATTATCTACAACTAGAGAAAGTAAGATTAAAGCAAAGAGCACGGAACACCAAAACAATGATAGCAAGTAAGAGGTTAAACATTTGAAGTTCCTATAATCTCACTTGTGGAGTAAGATACACTTGCAGGCGCTAGAGCATTTAATGCATTTTCAGAGGAGCAAAAAGCATTAATTGAGCGAACAAACAATGGGAGAGAGTTTAACATACGGATAGTTTGGGGTAAATTATTCCAGAGTCTAGAAAACTTACAGGTAAAGTAATTCATATAGAGAGAAGATCTAGAATATGTTTGTTTCGCTAAAGACAAGGAGTTACGAATGTCGTAATGTGAGGCCTTAGCATATTGAATCGCCTGACTAGATGTGAAGGAGAGTTTGTTAAGTATTTTGAAAAAGAAGATAAGGTTAAGTTTGAGTCTCCTCATCCATAAAGGGTCAAGCCCTAGTTTACTACACCTCGAATTATATGTCAAGACACTATCAGGTCCAAGAGTACGAAGTGTAAATCGTCTCTGTACTGATTCCAGTCTTAATTTATCCTTTATGCGCGTGCTACTAAGGAGAAACGCGCAGTATTCGAGGAGTGGTCGAACACAGACTTTGTACATTAGAATACGGGATTCGCTGTTATGAAGGTTTCGAGTTATGAAACCTATAAGGCGTTGAGACTTGGACGTTTGTTTCATTATCTGTTCAGTAAACGACAAGTCGTCGTCAATATAGATTATGAAAAAGAAAGTGATTTCAATGTTGCATTTACAATCCTACTTCTTAAGTAGTAGAACGAAATGCTTTCGAAATTTTACAATTAGATGTCAATATAGAAGTATTCTATTATGAGCTTGTTTTAGATAAGTTTGATATGGTAATCAGAAGGTTAAAAACAGAGTTCGTCTGAAGTAAGAATTTACATAGGATGAAATTAATAAGGAATATTGCGAATCAAATTATGTGTAAGTATTGATGCCAGAATCTTTTACGTTAGTATAATCTTTCTTTTCATAACAAGAACAAAAAGAAACATGTAAAGTGAACATTTAACCTTAAAATGCTTATTTACTTACTTCCTTATGCCTGATACCACTAGTCGAGGAGCATAGGCCGCTCACCAGCATTCTCGTGTCCAGGGCAACCATTTCCTGTTCCTTCCAGTTGTTATTCATTCTTTTCATATCTGCTTCTATTTCCCGGCGTGTTGTGTTCTTTCGCCTTCCTCTTTTCTGCTTCACTTCCGGATTCCAAGTTAAACCTTAAAATAACTAAAACAGATTTTAATTCATTTGTATGGTTCTTTAACAAGTTAAACTTGGATGGCCGAGGTGGTGAAATTGTTACCGTGACTACGGTACCGGCTCATTATTTCAAATTAAATGGATTATAAGAAAGAAACTACTGGATGATTGATCAAATGTATTAACTCAAGAAATTCGTGGAGATTCTCTGTTTTTTTTTCATTTTGTCACAGATTGGCCTCAGTTAGACGACTACTGAAAATCAGAAACCATTGGAAATCTATTTCATCCTAGTATGGCATCTTTAAATAGAATATACCCGTTACCCGACCCGGGACCGAACCCTAGACCTTAAGGTCTCATAACGATTGCCTAATCCTCAGACTAATGGACCAGAATCCGATATTTAATATGCCTAACTTCAATCTATTCATAATATTTCTCGACTATTCAATAGTCCCTTCAACGGGTAATTTCCTCCATCCAACTTGATTGAACTTGTTATATCTGAAGCGTTACGAATTCACTAGTAGCGAGCGGAACAAAGACTTGTGACCAGGGACCGATAAGCTAACTATTCTGACGCGACCCCGACCCAGCTAACTAGAGTAAAAAGTCCAAGTTGGAAGCCGGGAAGTTATATTCCGTATCAGCCAGAAGCATATCAATCAAAGTCAAGTGTATATATACAGCAACAGATTGTCCTTGGGGATCATTAATAAATAGCACACACAAAGAAACAATGAACCAATAGCGTTTAAGATAGTTACAAATGGGAAATATGATGTGAAGGTAAAAAGACCGCGTTTGGCGCGAAAACAACTAAATTCAAATTTCCAAAATAAAATTACAAAATTAAGTCACTTATCAATTAAGTTTTGAGGATTTGACATCCCCAACAGAACTTCACTTGTGACAAACACATGTTAAGGAATTAAAATTTTCATTCAAATTTATAAGATTCATTTATGGAGTTAGCAATCTTATCAATGTGAATTTATCTATTCGTATGAAGTAGCTGAATTGAAAATCAACATTTTGAGTCATTTGTTAATGAGGTGGAAACTTTTCTACTTCACATTTTGATTCATTTTGCTGTGTGATCAGCATAATCTTATTAAATAATCCATTGTGTTGTCGAATCAATCAGCACAAACTGTTTGAACAATTTCGTAGTTTTGGAATATTAAAGATTCTTATTATGAAAATTAGAACAACATATGTAAGCGAACAATATTAAATATGTCATCGAGCATAATAGTTAAAAGTATCTGAAGTTTGTGCTGATGATGTCGTTCAGAAGGATGATGATAGCTTCACGACCAAACCATCCAGCTCAGAGAACAAAACTCCAATAAAATCATTCGCCTGAGCTACAAATCTTCTACACCAGTTAAAAGTACAAGTTGATAGTGGGAAGACAAGTGTACTAATAATAATAAGAATAGTTCTGATTATCAAGAACGATTACATTGAAAATATGCAACCAATACTTAGTGATCCTAGGAAATTTCAAAAAGTTTCTAGTAATTATGACATCAAAAAAAACATGATCTAAAGAAAAACAGAATAATTACGTCAGAGATTCATGACTCCACCAAAACGACTGGATCATATATACCATGACTGTACAATTTGCCTAGAGTTCATAAACCAGGTCTTCCTTTACTCTCGGTTCTAGTTATGTACAATTATCCTTATCACAAAATTGCAAAGTGGCTAGTGTAAAACTTAAAGCCTTTGTACAAATCATTTGTAAGAAAGAATGTAAAGTATGTCTTCGATTTCACCTAGAAAGTGGAAATTATGAATGTTAGTATGAAAAATATGTTTTCACAGGATGTAGTAACTTTGTTTACCGATGTACCATTTATAGAGACTGCTGAGTTTATATGCAAGCAAATATCAGAAAAACAAATCAACATTGGCTTACCTGAGAATTATCCGGAGTAACTAATCCTAAGACATACGTTGAATGTTCATTTCGCCATCATCAATACTTAATATAGACAAATAGACGGGATAGCCATGAGTTTATCTCTAGGCTCGATTCTAGTTGTTCTCTTCCTAGGAAAGCTAGAAAATGGATCAATTTATGAGGCTGTTACGAAGCTTGATCTATACTTTCGCTACATCGACGACACATTCATTATCGTGTATCAGAACACCAGTGAGGATAAACTAACAGAACAGTTCAAAAGTGTACACCTAGACGTTAGTTTCATCGATGAACGAGAGTCTGATAAAAAGCTGAATTTCTTGGACGTCACACTAAGCAGGAGAAGTGATGGCTCGTTAAGTAGAAATGTGTATGGAGAAAGTCTCTCTGCCTGCCAATATACTCACTTCTATAGCTTTACACCTATCCGATGCCTCACTAGCACCTCAAAAATGATCCGTTCAGTAGGTACTTTAAGTCAGGAGCTGGAATTTATCAATAACTCACTGACTGAGATCGGCTAACCTAGTGCGTTTATTAAGAAATACATGTATGATACAAGAAACAAGTCCAAGATTTCAACTGTTCGAAAGAAACTTTTATACAGGAAACTACAATTCAACAGAGATATGGCTAGCGATAATCTGAATAATAGGTTAACGAAAGAAATGACTTTCTCCAGTCGACCAGTGATATCTACTCAAACGAAGGAAAAGTTACCTGAGTTGGCATCCTCTATGTGCATTTATAAGTTCAGCTGCTCCTGTGGAGATAGCTATATTGGGAGTACTACTAGGCAACTTAACTAACGAATGAGTGAACATCTATCAACACGGTTTGAGAAGGGCCAGTTAAAAACAATAGTTAGTTCTATCCTGGTACATCTAATTGATAGTGGTCATAAAGTAGATACTTCTTATTACGTAATGACTTTTTTATTGTTTTGTGATCTCAATGAGTTACAAAACTATTACTATTTCAATCAGATTGATCATACGTTATCAGTGTAAATCTATTCTGATTATTTTATTAACATCAGGTCGTTTATATTAATCCTAACAACTCACTTACTTATTTACTTACGCCTGTTAACCCT